CCAGCCTCTGGCGCAGGTGCACCACATCCCCCAGCCGCACTTGACCCCCATCTCCCTGTCCCATCTAACCCACTCCATCATCCCAGGGCACCCTGCCACCTTCCTCGCCAGCCACCCCATCCACATCATCCCTGACTCGGCGATCCATCCCGGGCCCTTCACCTTCCACCCTGTTCCCCATGCTGCTCTGTACCCAACGCTGCTTGCCCCTCGCCCTGCCGCCGCTGCCGCCGCTACAGCTTTGCATCTTCACCCCTTGCTGCACCCCATTTTCTCAGGGCAGGACTTGCAGCACCCTCCCAGTCATGGCACATGAAGGGTGACTCGGCCTGAGAACAGAGACTCGCGCCTTTCCAAAAGGGGGCGAAGCTGATCCAGCTGCCAGGTGAGATCTGCACTTTTCCTTTCCCTCTTAGCCTGCAAGGAAGTGGGCCTGGCTGGAAGGCCGCGCACACGGTGCGGCAGCTCCCTTTTGTGCATTTGTTTCCTGTTCGCGATGTTCTCCTGCCCACGTCTGAGAGAACGTTTCTGTAGCAGCATCCCGGCCCAGAGGAGTCCTCTCAAATTCACAGACGATGGTTTGTGAAAGATTTTTTCTGTATTCTTACGGCTGCCTTCATCTTCCTTCTGCCCTCTTGTAAATGACATACAGTATTTCATACTGTGGCTAATGGCTGTCTGTCCCAAACCCTTGTAATGAGGTCTAATTAAAATGGTCTACATGATTGACTCCTGCTTGTAATCAGTGATGCAGCATGTGTAAAACATTTACTAACTGACAGCCTGTGGCCTGCCAAGAGGACTTCTCCGGCATGGCATTGCCAATCCCAGCTTGCCAGGGCAGTGCCCGATTTGTGGACGAGTTCTTGGCAACTGATGCCCAATACCACATTGCTAATGTGAGCAGCGAAGGTGAAAATGAGATTTAATTTTTAAAGTTTTGCTGAACAAGAGAGCTCTATGTTCAAAGCTTGGGCCCGTCTCTGTCCTGCATTAGCAGTCTGCTCCCAGGTGAGGACTGTATGCCGAAGCCTTTTGTGTGAAACAGAGAGGTGCTTTCAAATTGCTGGCTTGTGACTGTGGTCTCTGCTTTGACCACTGGACTCTTGAGAGAGGGGTCTCGTGCTCCAGTCTCCCAAAGTGTGTGAAAGAGGCATCTGCTTGAGAATGAAAGGAAAAATCCCTTCCAGAGCTGAAGCCGTATGGGGGACTGGAACCCAATAACTATCTGGAGAAATTAACCAGGATATGTAAAGTGTATTCTTTACTCTGTAATATTGATGTTTCTTTATTAATTTATAGGATTTTTAAAATGTAAACACTTGCACTGAACTCTGTAAACGTAAAAATGCTGCTTTTTGTAGCTCATACAAAGGTTACATATTTGTAGTATACTGCAATAATATTTTTTACAGCCAGTTCTTTTAGTGGTACATGTTCTGGTGGCTTTTGTGTAAATATGTTTGCTGTGTAGTTGAAATAAGACACTTGTAAAGGTTAAACTCCTCATTTCGGCTAGATACAAAATGACTAAGCATGTATATTTTATCAGACTCATGTATTTTTGAAGTTTTTATGTACTATAAAATGTAAAAAAAAATCTTCATTTAGCATTTTGCTGAAGGGAAATGTGAGGCTTGGAATAAATGCAGTGCATTGAAGACATGGGTGCCTCTAACAGCTAATGAATTGCATCGCACTGGAAGGGGTTTCTAACGCGCTGTACAAAGGAGACCTCGGCGTATGTGGCATGCACACGGTCCACAGCTGCGCTGCCGGCTTCCTAGGAGCCTGACCCTGAGGGTAGAGTCGGGAAATTGGGCTAAGTTCCACATGGCCCAGAACTGTCCATGTTTGTTCTGGGGTGAACCACTGACTTGCAGATGTCGCCCTCGCTCTTCCCAGGCCACACGGACCTTGGCTTTGAACCGGGCCGTCTCCTTTCTGGAGGGGGCGCTGTGGAAACTCAATTGGATTCCTCTCACCTGAGGATTGGCCAGGGTTTCTTCCTTGGTCTGCGGATCAGCCCCTTGCCTAGAGAGGACTGGCTCTGGAAGTGGGGTCCCTCGGCATCAGCCCTGCCAAGCGCTCTGCTGTAGTTCATTTTTCAAATGTCTGAGTAGGGAGCCAGCCGTTCTCCCCTCCCCCTAGCTTTCCTGCCCTGCCCTCTCCTCCCCTGAAAGCCAGTGGAACTGCCACATCTGAGGGGTAAATTCACAGTAATTGGAGCCTGGGGCTTCTCGCTTAGAAAGAGAGCTGCATTTTGAACCAATAGCACTGGAAAAAATCACCTGTTAACAGAGGGACTCAATTTTTAATTGCTGTAAATATTTTGCAGCTCCGGCATGAGTGTTTCAGTGCTGCGCTTCATTAGCTTTTAGATTCAGTGCGCGTGTTCCGGCACCGTACAAGTGGCCGCCGCGGGAGGCTGACTCAGAATGAACCTGTCGTTGCTTACCGGACTGTATTTAACTGTCACGTACGAGAGAGACGCTGTAAAATGAGGGGAAAAACTTTCTAATAAACCAATGATTTGTGGGAATGGGGGTGCTCCCCTCACACACGAGACCTTCTTGCAGCTGGTGGTGAATCTTAGTAGGGACACGCCCCATTTTCATCGTTTTCCTAGAGAAGAAATCTCCGACTGCACCGGGGACTCTCCCAGCGAGGGCTTGTTTGATTATGTAAATGGAAAATTTTAGTCTCAGTTCCCACCAGAGCCGCTGGAGTTTTCTGCCCACCTTAGCCGGGGGAGCTGAAATCTCCTTTCCTCAAGCAACAGGCTGGGTCCAGCAGCCCTGCTCTGGAGAAAGCAGAGCAGCAGCGGCTCTGGGCCCCTGACACTGTCCAAGGCTGGGCCATGGCTCTCGTCACTGGAGCTGGTGACCTGTGGTGCAGCCAGTTTCTAGGGTGCACTTGGCACGGTTTAGCTCTGTCTGGTTCCCTGGCGTTGCTATGCACTGTGTCCAGGAAACCTCAGCCCCCTGTCTCCCTTTCCATGGCGGCTGCCAGGACTTTGCAGGCTGGCTCCACGAACAGGCAACTGGTTTACAGAGCTGCTTAGCTTGGAGTGTGCGAACTCCTTTGTGCTGGAGAAATCGCTCCTGTCATCTCCATGCCGATCTGAGCCCGGCCACCCAGCCTTCGCTGCCACTTGACTCCCCTGCTGCAAAACCTTTTCTGGCCGGGCTAGCTAAGTGTCAGGGGTGTGGAGACGGGGAGCCCTATATTGATCAATCCTTAACCAAAGCTGTTGCTTTCTGTAGGCCTCCAGCAGCCCCTCGTTCTTAGTGTGTGCGGCTGCAGCGAGCGCTGAACAATCCTTTGGAAGATGCCCCCTCCTGGCCACATCTGATCCCGTTCTCTACCAGGCTGGGCTGGCTTGGCTTGAAGTTCCTGTCCCTCGGCAGTGGCCTTGGCTCCAGATCAGCTTGGCGCTTAGCAACTGTCCGTCTCCCTCAAGCCTGCTCAGCCCAGCCCTCGGCGGCTGTAGCCCGGTGGTCAGATGAAGATTTGCAGAGGGCTCCGTTCAGAACCGTCGGGGGCCCTCACAGGAAAGGGGGAAGCTGCTGTTGGGAGAGCTCTTTGCAGGTGTCTGCGCTCCCTATGTGCACCCACAGCCGGCAGCAGATGTCTCTACTGGAGGTGCACAACCACGCGCCTCCGTGCATAGAACAGAATTGATTCCACACATGGAGGGGCTCAGTAGAGGGAGCCCTGGGGGTGAACAGTTGCTTATTGCCAGGAAAAGGCCACGCCCAGGAAGCCGAGACAGCAGCGGTGGGAGCTGCCCCTGGGAGCCCATCTGCTCAGGCTGCACACTGAGAGGGGCCCTCGGCCTCGCCACGCTGGGGTGTGGTCGCTGCTGGCTGGAGCCCCTGCCAAGCATGACAGCCAGGGTGCCTGCCGGCCCGCCAGAGCCTTGGGGCAGGAGGGGAAGGACGTGCTGCTGGTTGCTCCTGATGCCCCAAGTGGGCCCTGCTCCGGGCCGAGCCCAGGGTAGCTGGGGCTGTACCGAGCCCTGAGCTCAGGGCCGAGTTCCCTCCCCAGCGGGCGCTTGCCCCATGCACCGGCCCGTGTGACTGGGCCTGCGGCCATAGGGCCCCCGTAAGCTCCCCCGCTTCATGTCCAGAGCCCCAGCCCTGAGTCCTGCACCTCCCACCTGCCTTGACTTTGGCACCCGCCTCCCTCTCCCTGCGCCTCCCATGCCCCTGCCCTGAGCCACCCAGCCCCTCCCCCAACCCTTGCGCCGGCCTCCCCTTTCCTTCACTTTCACAAACCACCGGTGCACTAAGGAAGGGGGCTTCCCTTTACCTGCCGGCGGCTGGAGGCCGGGTTCTGCCGCGAGAACGTCCATTCACTGTCCAGCCCTGCCAGTGTCTCCGACTGGCTCCAGGGCGGTGTGGGGCCACAGTGGGTCTCTCTTGGCTTGACAAAGCCCTGGCTGGGTTGATCTAGTTGGGATTGGTCCTGCCTAGAGCAGGGGGCTGGACTTGATGATTCTCTCTGCCGCAGGTGCCGGATGCAGGGCTCCTGCCGGCCAATTACCAAAAACGAGCTTGGCTGGGCCTGAGGAAGCAGCAGGCAGTGTCCACTGGTAGCACAATCAGCATTCCCTGGCTCTGCCACAGGCCTGCAAGTCGCTGCCCTGTCTCTGTTTCCCTCAGGGCACAAGTCCCTTGGGACAGCACTAGTGCCTGGCAGGAGAGATCCCAGTGTGCATGGGGCTTCCCCATCCCAGCTCCCAACCTCTCTAGGTAAGAGAAGGGGAAGGGACTTGCCTGAGGTTAGCCAGCAGGTCAGTGGCAGAGCTGGGAAGAGGGGCAGGACACTGGACCACAGGGTCTGGCTGCTCCGTGCACTCCACCCCCCCATGAGCTGCTTAAAAATAGAACCGACTCCTCCAGCGGCTGCCAGGCCCAGAGCTCCCTCCTGGCTGCTGCGGTTTCCTTCCTGCCTGGGTGGGCGACAGCTGCAGGGAGCGATAGAGCAGCACCATTTGCCTATCTTGCCTCCAGGCCTGGCTTGTACTTAACCTGCTCTGGCACGTCCCTGCACCGCAGGGGGCTGGGCACTGTCAGGCCCCACTGGGGCTAGCACTAGCTGGCCCCTGCCTTGGCTGACCTTGCCCATAACCCTCTTGGGGCTCCAAGCCCCAGCTCAGCAGTAGCCCCTCTGTCCGCATGCTGGGTACTTCACCCCAGCTGTGCCAGCCTTGCCTGTGGTGGGTTTCAGCTCTCCCCCCTCCCCCAAAATGCAGCCACCTCTGGGGTGGAGCGAAAGAGCAGCGCCCTGGAGGAGCAAGGGAAGCGGAGTCTGGCAGCCCGAGCCCCGCACAGCTGCACCGGTGCCCTGGCCCGAGGTGCGGTGCAGGGACGTCCAAGTGCCTGCTGGCAGCTCTTTGGGAGCCCCTGTCTCCGGCATCTGGAGGGGATGGAACTTTGGCTGTGACGGCCTCCCCCGCCGAGGCCTTGTGACCTGAGCCGGAAGGGGGGCACCTCGTGACACCTGCTCAGGGAAGCTGGACAGAGGCTGGGGAAGAAGCCGGGCTGGGCCCAGGAGTGGGTCTGTCTCACATGGGGGGGGAGGGGCAGGGTCTCCAGCTGCCCAGTCTGGGCCGCGCTGGGTCCCTGCGAACCGATCGCCCTGCACTCGCTGGGTGCCCGAGGTCTCCAGCCCTGTGACTCCATGAGCTGGGTTAAGGGGAGGGTCAGGCGGTGGGGACTGGCCAGGCTTTGTCGTGCTGCGTGTGATCCCTGCTGCCCTGCAGCGACTCCGCGTGGGCGCAGTGCCCAGGGGCGGATGGGATCTGGGAAGACTCCTAAGGGGAGGCAGGTAGGGAATGGCCTGGCCGGCCTGGCCCGAGGGGGAGGATGCAGCTGGTGATAGTGCCTCGGTTTCCCATCTGCCACCAGGGGCAGCCACGCTGCAGGGTGCTGGGAGCCTAGAAAGGGGTGAATGGGCTGGGGTAGCCCCAAGGAGCCAGGCCTGCTGCCCCCCTTGGCTAGCACACGCACCATGGGGGCCTTCGCTGGGAACCCCAAATCAACCCCTTACCCTGCCTGCCCTACGTAGCGGCAATGCTCACGGCCCAGTGGGATGGCTCCAGCCAGGATCTCCTACAGGCTCTAGCGCCTAGGGAGCCTAGAAAGGGGTGAATGGGCTGGGGTAGCCCCAAGGAGCCAGGCCTGCTGCCCCCCTTGGCTAGCACACGCACCATGGGGGCCTTCGCTGGGAACCCCAAATCAACCCCTTACCCTGCCTGCCCTACGTAGCGGCAATGCTCACGGCCCAGTGGGATGGCTCCAGCCAGGATCTCCTACAGGCTCTAGCGCCTAGGGGGCAGCCTCCTTCCCCCAACTGCCTGGAGCCCCCCTGGCCTTTCCCCCCATTCTGCTCCCCTGGGGCTTGGTGGGGCAGGCAGCTGCCCCCAGCAGAAGCTCTCACCAGGGCCCTGAGCAGCACCGGCTGAGCCCCCCAGCACAACTGGGGACGACCCTTAGGGCTGCTTCTCGGGGGGCTGACAGCCACTGCCACCCGCCTCCTTGCCCTGGGGCGTT